AACTACTGGGTATAGCTTCTGGGTGCCATCTGTGAGATGCAAGTGAAATGTACCCTGTCCATGGCTACTGTCGTGGGAAAAAACAGAGTATTTTCTGGATAGACAGTTATATTGTCATAAAGAAATCTCTATGTACAATGAACAGACTTTGTAACTGAATAGGAGAAAACAAAGGTAAACAGGAGAGAAGAGGTTGAAAAAATGGAGAACAATAATTCAAACAGTTATGAATATAACTTAGAGCAATACAGAAATGTTTGGTTAAATCATTCTTGATAAAAGTAATCAGAGCTTACATTAAAATTCAGGACAGTGAATGTGCAGTCCTAGAGAAAATCTGCTTGCATCCAGCTAGAATATGAGGGCAGACACCCCTATGTGCAACAGGGGAAGGAACAGAAACAGGCCCCAAAAGGCATTCTAAAATAGTCTGACATGAGGGAGAAAAGAGCAGCTTTGGCTAAGACTAAAAATAATAATTTTTAAATTATTAATAATTTGAAGTGTATTTTTAAGAACAAAATTAAATCTCCCTGCTCAGAGAGATTTTTTCACCCCTGTACCAGCAACAGATTTGTTGAACACTTACTTCTTCCAGGCTTCACCTAGTTTTGAACGGTATGTTCCAGAAGAAATAGAGCATATATTTTTATAGGCATGCTGTCAAAATTAACTAAAGGGACATACTGGAAAATTCAAAGAAGAATATTTTACTTCTGTACTGGTAATATTCATATCTTTCGAAGACTTTGGCTTGCTTTGGATAAAACCCTTCTGTTCAGTAAAAGAAGAGAAATGATCAGGCTGCTGAAGTTTAAGCATGAATTTCTGAGTTGGTAACATGTTTTGGAAAAGAACATGTAGAGACTAAGGACTTGTCTTTGCTGAACCAGCTGGCTCAAATTTGATCTGATCCCATTGCAAAACAACATCTGAGCTAAAGAGACTGGATTTGCACGCTTGAATCATAACTCAAACTGCTACATCCCTCCATGTATTACTAAGCCTGGCCTTAGTTACATTCTAATTTCAAACTTACATACCCTGAAAGGGCTACAGCATTATTTATCTTGATTTTGAGGTAGCTGCAGATTTGGGGTAGGGTGAAAGCTCAAGCAACTCAGCCAAAATAAGTACTCTATGTAATGCTTACACCATATATGTTGCACTACAAATTGATTCACTAATTGGCTAGAATGAAAGAATGCGTGTCACGTCCGTGGTACAAGTGTCCAGCAAAGGACTGCCAGACTCAACTATTAAAATAAAAGTGATTGATGCTTTGCAAATTTTATTTTTTAATTGCATTTGGATAGAGCCTGAAGTCCTATGATGAATCATCTTTCACTATACAACATTTTGTGGTCCAATTTTGTAAAATTTTTATATTATTCCCCAAGAGTTTTGCAATATACACTTTAAAAAAAAAGTTTTTACCAGAATAGTTTGAATGGGTGCAGGTGTTGCCCCTGCAGAAGAAAAGGCTGAAATTTTAAAAATTATTTTTAGGAAGAAAAATGCATTCTCAGAATTATTGGCAACTGAAAAGCCTAAACACACAAAATACACTCTATCTAAGGTTTTCTGCAGGCACAGAACACAATTAATTCCAACTCAAACTAAGTTTGATTATTTGCAAGAGAGAAAGTTACTGAGGCTGGACAGGATAAAGTATGAGGGTGCTCTGGAAGACAGTAATGGAGACAGACAGATGTCATTCAGTGGCTGAAAAAGGTCAGAGTCAGTATCCATGCTAACAGAAAGATGAGAGAGAATCTGGAGGAATAGATCAATCTGCTTGCAAAACCATGACTATTACAACAGCATCTGTATTTCCTCTAGAGATAATTTCAGTAGAGATTCTTATACAAATCTTATTTCTTCTGCATATGGTTATATTACACTATGTATTCCAACGCAATTTTAATTTATGCTTCCTTCCCCTTCCATGTGACACAGTACCTTACTTTTTTTCATCCTTATACACCCTGGCCCTGATCTAATTTCTCCAGGACTCAACAGCTTCATACCCAAAGCACTTCTACACTTCTGACAGAATCCAACAGCTCTTACATCCTACAGGGCTCATCCTGCTCATCATCCTGCTGGAGAGGCTGCTGTATAGCGGCGGCTCAAGAGCGGTCATACACCGGACCTCTTACGTTGTTCTCTCCTCTACTCACACCTCCCACTTTCTTCCTCCTCAGCTGTCACCTTTTTGCAATGCAACAGCAGGCACATATGTTGAAGTCTGCTAATTTACACAGAGTATCTTCTATTATACCCCACTTTAAGCCTCTTGGTGCATTTAAGTACACCATAGACAATTACACTAGTGTTCCTTAAAGACTATAGTGTTAAGACATATAGTTTATTGAGATATATACAATGTTTTAGAAGTTGACTACTACAGATTTAAAAATAAACTGCTAGAAAAACTTTAATGCTGGATTATTGAGGTCTGACATTATATGAATGCTATAGCACCAGTTGCTTTCATGCACGTTCTCAGCAACAATCAAGACAAGGTACAACAGGCAGAACTGTAATACTTAATACTGTCACAACTGTGACTATGTTTGGATCATTAAGGCACTCCCTATTAAGTCCCATGGAGTATCAGCAACTGATAGGGAAAGGTCATTAAGGCACTCCCTATTAAGTCCCATGGAGTATCAGCAACTGATAGGTAAAGAGAAATGTTCAGCAGCTGCTAAAAGGAGTTTTAAGCATTTTATGGAATATGGAAGTGACAAACATTAATCAGTAACAATAGTTTGACCGCATAAACAAGAGCCTGAAGATGTTGTCGTCTGTTTTAGGAAATAGGATTCAGAGAATTCATATGATCAACTCAAAATATTTAGTGAAATACAGAACTCATTAATTACAATATAACAATACAATATAATACTACTAGATTTGGCCTCTTATGGTTCATAATTCTGCTGGCATGAAAAACAGCTACTTCATGGGTCTTTCAAAAGAGAAATTCCTAACAATTCTGAAAGTATGGCAAAGTGACATATTTCTTGTAATGAATTCAAACAAGAAAATTAGCACCCAAAATTATACATTTTAATAGCAAATCAGCTGATATTCACAGATAGAAAAACAAGGACAGACAGACCAGCTGATTATCAAATGCAGGCCCCCATAATTACAAACAACTAACACCCAGAAGCTAACATTATGCATAAGGGAAAGTAAAAAAATCCTTCTGGCCCTTACAAGATCAGTGAAAGCTCTGAGGGACAGAATTAAGTACAGCAAAACCACATGATCAACCAGCAACAATAAAGACTCTTTATAATCCTGTTCTTTAGGACAGCAAAAATTTAAGACCTTCAAAGCTGGTATCACAAGATTTTTCTAACATTACAATTATTCCAGTCCTATAACGCAATCATATTTGTATGCTTCTCAAAGCGAAACAGTTTTTAGGCTCTCTGTCCTCATAACCCTGTAGCAAGGCACTCCAGAAAGCCATTCCACACACAGTGGAAATCTTCTGTTCAGAAAATCTTTACCAGCACTAATCTGCACAAACTTTCTTTTAGGTTAAATAATAATAATTTATTCCAAAACTATTTATGAAGAACCATCATGTAAGAACATCTTAAAAAACATTTTTAGTAACACTGCCAAAATCCTGTGTTCCTATGCACAGTGTGTTACAAGAAATCAGCAAATACTATATTTGTCTCAATGGCACTAGAAGCCAAAGTGCCTTCTACTCCCAAAGCCACTTGTGGTAAAGAACTTTTGCTTCACTTTTCTACAGATGAGATCTTCTGTAATCTAAAAATATTTTACCATTGTAACAGACATAATACGTCCATTATAATCACGTTAATTGTTTGCTGCACACTTCTGAAACTGTAACATTGGCTTCTTGCAATCTTAAACGCTGAGATCCAATTCATCTTATTCCAGGAGCAGCAGAATGCTGTATCGATGTACAGCACGTTCATTTATGGCACTTAACATTCATGTATCAGATCAATATAATCATAAAAAGGAACTTACACAAATATTTCTCTCTTATGAGAAAGAAAGGTTTAACTTTCTTTCCATTCCAAGAACTCTGGCCACCAGTAGGTGGTGTTTCTGGAAACGGTTAAGTAGGTTTTTTTTCCCCCCTACAGATGAAATGCAAAACTCCACCTGCAATACTGGTGTTTTGATGCAAGACTGAGGCTCCACATTCTCTACAAAATAAGCTTATCTTATCCATGTGATTTTTGAGCTCTGCAATTCTAAGAAGTGTGAGGATGACGATGTATACCTGAACATTAAAATACAAACAGGCAAAATGGGATCGACTTGAAGGTAGGAAACTTGAAATTTATATTGTCAGTTTACCAAATGACCCTTCTCAGCTGCTAGATTTCCCTCAATCGAATATTCCTCTTTAGACTGTCCAGAGGCTTTTTAAAAATACCACGTATAACAGTAATCATTGCTTTATATCTATGCAAAATATGCTCAGTTATGATTTGCAAAGAAATCCCTTAATTATTGATCAGCTGAGCTGTAGGTTTGAATAGGCTATAATCTGAAAAAATGCTAGAGGCAGAAAGGAGGGTAAAATGAACATTAGGCAAAATAAAACTGACAAATATGAGAGAAAAGATGCTTGACTAGTTCTAAAGAAACCAGCAAAAACAGGGTTAATTCTAGCCTTATAAGGCTGTTCAGCAGCACTTCAACTGCACACAAATTAGAACAACCCTGGGAATCTATAAAGCTTGTTTTATTGCCAAGGACATGCAGCAAGATCTGCATTTTGCTGTTGTAAACTATCCTTTATTTAAGACGTTTTAAAACAGAATAGACTTTTATATGGGGTTTTTTTACTGCTGAATCGTCAACAGGTGGCATTCACTGCAGCTTTACACACCTAAATACAAGTTTTTACTGACACGACAGTGGAAGTTGACACATCCATTAAGCGTGTACCCGAGCAAGAACCAGCCTTCTGTTGTCTGGAGGAAAATCAGCTCTGGAGAAATGGAATTAAGGTAAAATAAAGTGTTTCACCATACATGGTTACCTGTAGTGCTTGTAATTGCTTGGCTTTTGGTGGCCTTTCAGATGTAATTAAAATCTGACCACAGACGGACCTTTTAAAATCAATTGCTTAGACTGTTAACTTACCTTTTATTGTATTTAAAGCAGTTTTACTGGCTTATTAAAAAACAAAAGGATGTCACATAAAAGACAACAGTTCATGTCTGACTTCCATAGCTGCTTGAAACAAACACCGAACCTTCTTCAAATAAGTGTAATTTCATATGGATATTTAAGCATAAAGATTTACATTATGAAAATGATTTAAAACATTGCAACAGCCATGTGTACTTATGCCTATTTCATTAAGAAATAAAAGCTTTGGAACAGATATCTGTAAGGATCTGCTAGCTACTTCTGATAACTTGAATACATTTAAGCAAACTCGGAGCTGTATTTCTGACTGAAAATATTCTGACACTCACACTCCATTAGTGGTCTGCTCCTTTTTCTCCCCCAGACTGTACATCAGCAGGATTTAAGTCATTAAAATGTGGAAAGATGCATGAATTTTACTAGTAAACCATTTATCTTTTTTCAATATGTTTTAGTGTAATTAAAACCAAGGTTTTGGCAGTAAGACGAAGATTAAAGCAATTCAAAAATATTTAAAATTTAAACACAAAATACCCTAGGTTATCATTTTCTTGCTGTTCTATTTGTTTGGGGTGTCTTTTGTTTATTTTTTCTTTTAAATAAACTTTGAGCAACGCTTCAGATCCATAGCATTCAACATTTGTAAGTAAACAAATCAGATAACTGATATTTTTCCATTCCTATCCGGAAGTCAGTGCAACATAATTAATCACAAAGAAAAGCAAATAATGTTGGTGAAAATCAATATGCTGCTTGTATTACCTTCATTTCTAAAATTTGCTTTTTCCTTGCCCCTGAAAGCAGAAGGAACCAACTGCTTTTCAACTCCATTGCCTTCTCAGCCACAGACTCTGCTACTTAATAGCCTTACAAGCTGATGATGAAATAAATATATATAATTTCTATATATCTATATATTAAAAAAATAAAGTTTTTCTTCATTAGGCTAAACTCACTCATCTGATTTTCTATATTTCTACATTTCCCAATACTGAATCCCTGAAGTGCACACAAAATTTTAACAGATCTGCACTCACAATATATTATCACCCAGAACAAATGTAAGTTCTTTTAACTGAACCTTTGTTTATATATTCAAACATGATGTTTCCTACAGACTCAGCTGTGTATATGAAGTTAGCAGAAGCGTGTGGTACATGGTACAATGCTGGAGTATGAGATTAATGGTTTTCCATTTGCAAATTGCAGGTCCAAGGATGTTCATTGATTATTAAAAGAAAACAAATGGAGCTAAAATTCTACTACCTTCCAACCTGCATGAAGAAACACTGTTGCTGAAAAGCTTTTATTAAAGAGATCCAAGTACCATAATGGTAAAGAGATTCCTACATGATCTTAAGGCATACAGGAACTGCAAATTCTCTCATTTGCAATGTATATAGTGTCCTGTAAAAAAAAAATTAAGAAATTTACTATTTGTGCTGTTATATTTCAGTCAATTTTAAGTCAAATTAATTTGACTTCTAAAGAATTTCATTTTCCTGTACAAAAGTGTACATCTTTTTCCATTCCAATCAAAATGCTTACTATGAACTTAGTTGAAAACAACCAAAAATCTGATTTTTTTTGCATTACCACCAAACTGTGAGCAGTAATACCTTTTCTGCAGATATTTTAACCATGGAAACTTATTCTGCCTCAATATCGCCTGTTATATGTAACAGCACAACTTTTAACCTAAATGGATCACATTTGTGTAATGAAAGCATATCTTCTAGATTAGCTGATAAATCAGAACACCAACAATATGTTATTGGTCTTTTCTTATCATGTCTTTATACAATATTTCTTTTTCCTATTGGTTTTGTAGGAAACATTCTGATACTGGTTGTCAACATAAGCTTTCGTGAAAAAATGACTATTCCAGACCTTTACTTCATAAATCTTGCAGTAGCTGATCTCATTTTAGTTGCTGATTCTCTCATTGAGGTTTTTAATCTTGATGAAAAGTATTATGATATCACTATTATTTGTACCTTTATGTCTTTGTTCCTTCAGATCAACATGTATAGCAGCATTTTCTTTCTGACATGGATGAGTTTTGACAGATACATAGCACTGGCAAAAGTAATGAGGTCCAACATATTTCGCACTATGCAACACGCTAGATTAAGCTGTGGTCTCATATGGATGGCGTCTATTTCTGCAGCACTAGTTCCATTTACAGCTGTGCATTTACAACACACCGGAGAGGTCTATTTTTGTTTTGCAGATGTAAAAGAAATCCAGTGGCTAGAAATAACCTTGGGGTTTATTATCCCCTTTGTGATCATCGGTCTTTGTTACTCATTAATTGTTCGAGTTCTTATAAAAGCACACAAGCATAGGAGTCTTCGTCTGCGGCGACAAAAGGCTCTTCGAATGATTTTTGTCGTTGTCTTGGTTTTCTTTATCTGCTGGCTACCTGAAAACGTCTTCATTAGTGTTCAACTTCTTCAAAAGAAAAGCGAGCCTGTCTCTTCAAGCAGCCCATCCTTCAGACATGATTATCCTTTAACAGGACATATTGTGAACCTAGCAGCTTTTTCTAATAGCTGTTTGAACCCCTTAATTTACAGTTTTCTAGGGGAAACCTTCAGAGACAAACTGCGACTGTACATTGAACAGAAAACAAAAATGTCAACATTACATCGCTTTTGTCAGGCTGCCTTAACGTCTGTCATTCCTGACAGTAATGAGCAATCGGAAGTCTGATTTAGTAGTGGTTGTATAAAACGTATGACTGAAGTTGTGCAAATAGTGAACAAAATGCTTGCTACTAACAGAAAAAAGTGCGTTTGTGTATGTGTATATATATATATTGTATCGCTCTACTGAGTATTGAAGGTTTATATTCAAGTATTTTTATGACGACTTTAATGTAGAAGAATGTTTTAGTCAAATTTATATTTAATTATTAACAGGATTATTAAAAGCTGAGCACTGAAGGAGCTTTATTTTGTATTATACATGTATGAATGACAAGATAGAAGAAAGTTTTATCAAGTTAGGAAGACTCTAGATGTAACCTGATTATCAGAGATGCTAGTTTGCTGGTGTATATAAGCTACTTCCACTGAAATAACAAAGCTGCCGTAACAGTGGGGAAAAATCATTACAGTGTATTGATGTGGAGATGCAGTAAACATTGATTTTTTTTTTTTAATGACTTTGCTTAGAAGAACTACATAGTACTATCGTCACTGTATTCTAGCATGTCTTCCATGATTAACTTTTTTTTAATCTTAATATAATCTAGCACGGCGGTGAGTTTTCGTCTCATAAATGTAATCTACTGTTTACATCAGTACTTGATCAAAACTGAAATCATCTGTAACTATATTGCTCATCTCGAAGAACTTCACTGAAGCAAAATGTAATGCTTCGTTCTGTCTTCTAAGGATTGCCCAAGACAATCTTTCCCAGGACAGACATAATTGGGCCTTTTGTCAAAAATGCCGTGCATATATATGTACATTCGTATCTGCCTTCAGATTTAAATGAAAGTTGCATGACATCTCTTCACATTTAGCAGGCCTATTTTGATGGCCAGAACAAAATGCTATGGCTTTAAAAAAAAGTCTGTTTCTGCAAAAAGAGTATAAGAATTGCTTATGAAAATGACAGAAGCCTCGGTTTTTAGAAAGGAATAACTTACACAAGGGGGAATGTGATTAGCTATCATCAGATTTGCACTTTGTGCACCATCTATCCCACCTCCAGAAACCACTGGCCTTGCAAGATTAAGATGCACATCGGTTGCTTTGTTCATTTGAAGATTAATTATACTAAGAAAACAAGTGTTAGCACCATGTACTTGAAAACAGTAATTTTTAACTTCCACTAGAAAATGATTGGGTTTGAAATCTGATTCATGTTTAGCACAGGTTACTGCTGAACTTGTTAAAAGAAAGCTATGACGTTCCCAGAGATTAGTGTGCAAGATCATTAAAACATGACTTGCTGCACCTCTGAAGTGAACAAACTCATTTCACCTCTGTGCTCATTGACTTAAGCACCAGAACTCTGCAGAATAAGATGCTTTGTCCATTTCCAAATGTCATATATGAATTAATTAGCACATGAACAGATTTTAAAGGATTTTTAAACGTAGACACTTAAAACAATGACTGAAGTTACTAAGCAATAAAGAAAACAGTGAAAACAATGATTCCACTCATATTTCTCACGAAATATTTAGTTTCCTAGTGGAAGCTTTGGCCACAAAAGACTTGACCTATAAACAGAAAGGCCACAAGACGATGGCTGAATTTGAGACAGATAGCTAAATATTCCTGCAACTGAAACAGGAACTGCAGGGTGGCGTTTGCAGCAACTGCTGATTATTTGCAAGTGACTGCTAATCACAGGCTAAAGAAAAATGTCATTTAGTCACATCTTCCCTGTAGAACACCAAATACATCTTCTCTCAAGAAAGATGCCAGCATTGCCATGCCTTCCCTGCATAGAACAAGTTGCTAAACAACACTTTGCAAGAAATCTCACACCACTGTGCTACATCACACATAGCCCTTTTTCCTCATTATTTTCACTTTTGGAATTAGCCACAATTACTCATATCCTATTGACTGCCAAAGTACATTAATCACACCTTGAAAGACGGCTATTTCAGACAACACAGAACTGACGGAATGCATAATTCTCGGCGATGCACTTCCATGAAGTAAGACACATCTTCTGAGCTTACAGACATATTAGGTTTGTGTCATCTTGACACTTGCCATGTATAACTAACTTATTTGGGGTTACAGAAACACACTTTCCCAATTGTAGTTGTTGCTTATTTTGTTTTTACAGGAGTAAACTCCTTTCCCCTCCTCCTCCCTTCCAATATAGGAATCTGGTTTTTGATCAAGGCAATGGCAGAAGCCCTTTCATCACCACTGTAGATAACAAATCAAGAAAGTGTCTTTGCTCAGAAGCTTATAATAATAAACAGACAGTAATAGCAAATGCCTGCTCATACATACTGTGAAATAGTTGGTTTCTACATGATCGTATTCAGTAACGTCCTGATATCACTGTGAAATCTAGGAAAGATCAGATTACTGTAGTATGAAGAAAACAGTATTTACTCAACCTGAAAAAACCTATTGCACATTTAAAACGAAATTACAAATCTAAACTACCTGATGAGTTTCCTACTGTTGATATTTTGGTACAGGCTTATGAACTGTGCCTGAAATGACTAAGTTTAAACATACTACTTACTTTAAATAAATAACAAGTCCTCTCCCAGGTGAAAAAATGGCACTCTTCTTCCCAAAACTTTTTTTTTAAACAGCAACTATGGACAAAGTAATATTTACAGAAATGCCATACAACTTTCATCTATTTATATATACACAACGTGCTTTCTGCAGCCCATCAGCTTGCAATAACTCGTTACCATGGCTTGTCCATGAAACAAGACCTGTGCTTTATGTAGTTTTAATTTTAAAGAGCATGATCATCAGTAAACAAAACCTTTTCTGGAGTGTATGAGAAAGGGGAAATCAGAGTAAGAATTTTGATATGACTACTTCACTTAACTTTTCTCTCTGGTCTCTCACAAATTGTTTAATTTAAGGAAAGGATTCCATATGCCTTTCTAAAACGCTGGACTGATGACAACTGTGAGATTTTAAAACCTGTTTAGCACAGATGCTTACAATCTTGGCTATGATATTCTATATCAAGTTTGCAGACAAGAAAAGTCTAGTATTAGAAAAAGCACACAAAAAAAAAAAAAGGAAAAAAAATCAAGGAATCCCTGAAACCATTAACTGCTTTGGAAAAGAATACCTTAATACCAAAATGTCTTGAATGCACAGAGTATTGCTGAGTATCTAGAAACAAAATAAATCCAAACAGCACAAAGTAGCACCAGTCTGAACCTGATGCGACTGAAAGCAACAGTCTTCCCTCAGCTGTGTAGAAAGATATGAGAAAAATAGATATCTGAGACCATTTTAACATGTAAAAGAAATGCTGTAACTTTGCATCCTTTTAACAATTTTAGGAGATACACTAAATACCAACTGCACAGACACAACACATCCACATCTAGAAAAAGCAAAGTCAGTCAGCCAAAAGATGAAGCTTGATTAATTTATGAAAAGCATTACATGATGTGAGGGCATGTGACAGGGAATTTGAATCAATGTCAGGCAATCCCAGATTCTATGCAAGACTGACATAATACAGGCAAGATGCAAGAGAAGTCACCCCTCCCTTCCCCTTTCTGCTCCACAGAAAATCGAAGACTAGCATTCAGAATAGTCAATCCACCAATTCCAAAAGGCAACATACACTATAAATTTTAAAAAAAGAAAAAAACAGAATTCTTAAAACATGGTTTTCTTCAATATAGTTTCTACCAAAAAGATACAGGTTCATCTTACATTCCGCCAATGTAATCTGATGTATATATTCTTAATTGAAAATTGCTTATCCAGCATATGAAATCCATTCTACTAAACTTGCAAATCATAGAATGGTTTGGGTTGGAAGGGACCTTAAAGATAATCTGGTTCCAACCCCCCTGCCATGGGCAGAGACACAAATAGGCAAGCTTTAAAAAAAAATAGAACACAAAGTTTTAACAAGAAAATGCTTTTAGAATTTCAGGCTAAGTATCTGTTTTTTAAACAAAATTCACTGGCTGTACAGTGCAGGCTCTCATCTTTTTTCCAGCCATCAAGTTATGTTAGAAGCTAACTGATTTTTTTTCCCGTATAAGGGTTTTGCTGTATTCTCTCAGCTGTTTAGTAAGATTGCAAAAGGGAAAAGGTTGTCTGGACAATTTTGAATGGTTAGGATTGTCACATAGGAAATGTGTTAAAAAGTGGTTTACAGTAAGTAAGCACCTATCAGGTTCAAACCTGATTATCATTTAATTCCATTTGAACTTGTTTCTGCATAAGTAGGAAAAACAAGTGAGTGTGTGAAGAAGGCAGGTTTGAATTTTAATAGCTACTCATGAAGGTGAACCAATGAATTCATTTGATTTTGATTGAAGACAACAAAGTTAAGGGTTTGATTTTAATTTAAGAGACAGAATCCTTCCCTTCCACTCCAAAATTCTTACCTTACCCATTCAGGCCATCAGACAAGTATTTAAAATTTTTGTCATAGAAGAGCACAGGGCCAAGTTCATTGTTTAATTCAGTTGATTGAATTATATCTTTGCAACAGAAGTTTACACTTACATTACCAATTATGTCTACAGTAGCCCATCGGTACACAGCTAGACCTCACCATTCCTCGTTCAGAGACTGTTTACGTTAAGAAACTATTATTATTTTTACATTCTGTTTAATAAATATGCCACCAATAAACCATTTCCACCTGGGAATTGCACTTTATCTTTTTTATGTTAAATCTGCAACAACAGATGATAGGGAACAAGTCATTTTTAAGAGAGGCATACAGACCATCTTTTCCGTATACTCTTAAGCTCTGCTGTCGGGGAGGTATATCATGGTACATGCCTGGCACTGTGTTTTAAAGAGAGACATGCTGGATTTGAAAATCTGAACACCCTCGATTCATATTTATAATTTAGGTGTCCTTTCTTCAACGGTGTTGTCCAAACTATTTATTCCACATTGACATATGATACACCAAACTTTCAACCCTTGGCTTTTGGCTTCCTTTTAGGCTTCCATTCCATCATATGGCAGCATGACACAGCCAGGAGCTAAGAATAAACAGTTGC